TTCAGATCTAACACCACTAGATTTTTGTTTATGGGGTTGGTTTAAAACAGAAGTTTACAAAGTTAAAGTGAATAATCGAGAGGCACTAATTCAACGAATAATTAATACTGGCGCAGTTCTTAAAGAAAAAGTTAATAGGACAAGCAACAGGCGCTGTTCGCAGACGTAGCAGAGCATGTGTAGAACTCAATGGGGGTATTTTTGAACACCTTATAAAAAGTCATAAATATTAAACAAATGTTACCGTTTCATTTTATTTATTTTTAATTACGCTATAACTTCAAAACAAATGAGAATCGAATAAGAACATTTGAGTTTTTTTTAATTATTTTAATGTGTAGAATGCAGTCCTAGAGTTCGGTGCAATCGTTCCGATTCACCCTGTATATGTCTTTGGCATCGTTAAATTTTAATGATGCCAAAGGCGAATGCCATAATGAGTGTGAGTATCTTAATAGCCCATTAAATGGAAGAAAATTAACACTTTACTTCTGAAATATTTCGTATTTATTTGCTGATTTTACAGGTAATAAATTGTTTGCGGCTTCTTACAATTTCTGGCAGGGTTACATTTTCAATTTTACATTTACATTCGCATAAGTTTAGTAATTTTAACTTTAGAAGATTATCACTAGTAAAAACACTAGAGGTCAAATTATTTTCAGAAATTTTTTCGAGCTTATGAATATTTTGATTCGAAGATGAGGGATAATTTTCAAAATATTCATGAGCTCGAAAAAATTTGACCTCTAGTGGTATTACTACCCAAGTAACATTTTTAGTTTTATTATGGTCTTCAAGAACGCTTTAAAACAATATTTTGTTTTAAAGCGTTCTTGAAGACCATAATAAAACTTTGAAAGTCATAATAAAACTAAAAATGTTACTTGGGTAGTGAAAATTCCACACCTGTAATTTTTATCCAATCAAAACGTGTAATTTTAACAGATCACTATGGCAACGGATGAATTTTATTGGAAATGTTTTCCTCGTGGGTACCCAACAGCGAATTATACTGGAAATTTTTTGACGTTTATAATGAAAGAATATTTTTTGACAATCTGGTTTTTATTTGTTTACATGATAATTTTGATTCATTTAAATTACATAGCTAAGATGTTTTCTATATTCTTTGGATACCTCCTTTCTTCTTAATTTCCACTACAATTCATCCGTTGCCATGGTGATCTGTCAAAAATACACGTTTTGATTGTTTAAAAATTACAGGTATGGAATTTTCTATAAAAAAACATAAACAAAATCGATAAGCATATTCCGCTCGAGTGAAGAGTTTGTCACACGAGCCGAAGGCGAGTTTGACGGTTTCACGAGAGCGGAATATGCAATTCCAAACGTGTTTCAGACTATACTTTTTCTACGTTTCCAAAAAATGCCATAGAAAAATAATTCAATTGGAAGAAAGTGAGGTTGGATCGGTCTAAAATTTGTTAGATATTAAAAACAGAGATGTCGCGACATGTCGCCACGAGTGTTTATTCTGTAATCAGATGATAGAATATTTCATTCTGTAGCACTTTACGGAATATATGTCATTCCATAGACAAAAGTGATATTAGAACGGTCAAATTCCGTAATAGGAGTAGAAAAACTTCTTTATTTTTCATTTTACGAGAAAAATGTATTCTTCATAATAGTTTTTGCTTGTTTCAAAATGGCTGAATCAGTTTCCACCGTTTCAAATTTCCTTTCCATTAAAGAGAAACATTAAAAAATATGTCCTTTTAGTTGAATATTTGTTTGTCCCAAAAATTACTTTTCGTTTTCATGGCAACAGTTAACACGACTATTGTTTATTAAGTTTTTATTGCAACAATTCAACAAAAATCAAGTTGTTTCATTGTCAGTCGAAAATTTGTCAAAATTAATGACAATGTTGTCGAAAGAGCAACGAATTTATTTAATACAGTGCTATGGTAAAAGTGATAAAGCAACCCGACGAGTTATAGAAGAATTTAATCAAAAGTTTCCCGATATTTACATCTCAAAATGTGGTGCACAAAAATTAATAAAGAAATTCTTAATTACTGGCTCCGTTTTGGATGTAAAGAAAATTAAGGTAGATCGCAATGAAGATGACGCTTCCACTCTTATCGTAACGGATTCGATACAAAATAATCCGAAACTTTCTTTACGACGAAGATCGCTTCAATTGGGGATAAGTAAAACACATATTCAAAGAATATTGAAATAATGTAAAATTCATCCTTACAAACCAATTTTTAATCACGCTTTAGAGCACGGAGATCCCGCAAAACGTTTGGATTTCTGCTTGTGGATGGGTGCTGAAATCATGGATAATCAATACTTTTATCGAGATATTATATTTTCTGATGAAGCCAAGTTCTCAACCAATGGTACTGTTTTATCTCGGCATGTGAGGTACTGGAGCAATCACAATCCCTATTTCCGAATCGCTCGGAATCGACAATAATCGGCTAAAGTTAATGTATGGTGTGCAATTTCTTATCATGGTATAACTGGACCATATTTTTTTGGAAAATACAATTAATCAGCATATTTAGATATGTTACAACATTTTCTAAATGAAAGGTTGGACGATCTACCGATTAATTATTGTCCAAGGTGTTACTTTCAACAAGATGGTTGTCCTGTCCATTATGCTCGAATAGTTGTAGAATGGTTGAATCAGCAATTTGGAGAGAATTGGATCGGCCGAAATGGTCCTGTTTTATGGCCACCGAGGAGCCCTGATTTGACTATTTCAGATTTTTACCTTTGGGGTCGTTTGAGACAAATAGTTTATGCAAATGATCTTCCTCCGAATGTAGAACGTTTGAAGGGAAAATCAGAGATGCTGTGGCTTCTTTACCGCTGGAAGAGATCAGAAACAGTTATAGGGAACTGCGTCGCAGACTTGAGCTATGCGTTCATGAAGGTGGTGAATGGATCGAGTGAAATTTTTTAGTAGTTTAATTATTTTGTTGAATTGTAATAAAAACTTAATAAATGTTCGTTTTAGACTGACAATAAAACGACTTGATTTTTGTTGAATTGTTGCAATAAAAACTTAATAAACAATAGTCTTGTTAACTGTTGCCATGAAAACGAAAAGTAATTTTTGGGACTTAAACAAATATTCAACAAAAAGGACATATTTTTTCATATTTCTCTTTAACGGAAAGGAAATTTGAAACCGTGGAAACTGATTCAGCCATTTTGAAACAAGCAAAAACTATTATGAAGAATACATTTTTCTCGTAAAATGAAAAATAAAGAAGTTTCTCCTCTTGGCAACCCTATCCGGGGACATACTGTATATAGCATAGCGTTTTTTTCAAAAACGTAAAAAAAACTGGTTTTGACGTTTTTGATTAACGATACTAAGAAAACGTTATCATAGCAATTTGTTCTTTCAACTTATTAATTTATGAATTTTCTCTTATTACAACAATGTTAACGTTAACGACTCATGTTAGGCCTGATTGACTCGAGTGGCTATTGCGTAATGACAAGTTTAAGAAATATTTTGCAGAAATATTGAACTCTTGAGTGGTATTAAAAAGATTATTTTTTGACGTTTATTATAAAATATTTTGCAGAAATATTGAACTCTTGAGTGGTATTAAAAAGATTATTTTTTGACGTTTATTATAAAATTTACAAATATGTCAAACTGATAATATTTTTTTTTATAAAATTGTTTCCAAGACAAATTATTACTTGTATGAAAGTTTTGGATGTATTTTTTTGCACTTTATTTACGAAACTGAATCTTTTGTTTTTTGAATTACCAATAACATTATTTTCACGAGAATAGACTATAGTAAAATATTGTTTTAATTGGCTAGAACATATACACATGACTGAAATAGAAAGTTTGTATTTGTTTTTCAAAACGTTAAAAAATAATTAACATTAATACCACAAGAGAGTAAAAATAAATTGAAAAATAATTAGACAGATATTTTAAAAACTTGTTGTCTGGGAACAAATATAGCAAGTATATAAATCTTCTAACGTGATATTGAAAAAATTATGATTTTTTTTCTTGGATGCATTTATGCCTGTAGAAGTTCCATTTAAATTTTTGTTAACTTTCACTGCACAGTTTTGCAACAATAAACGATAATATTGACTGTGCCCAACCGAAATTTTCTGTTTCTAGAAGATCCGGCAATACTGGATTACGAACACATGATTATCTAGGGATATTTAGTTTGATTTATTTGGTAACTACCATAATTTCGTTTTTTTTAAGTAAATTATTTTAAGAACACGTTGTTTTGTTATTTATTATTATAAAATAATTAGACTATCCTTCTACCTTTTATGGTTTTCTCATCTTTGTTTTCTGCTGTATTCAAAATACTGCATGTTTTATGTTGCTTTATTTTTGGTTTCCATACCTTTTTTCATTAAAAATTTATTTGTAGTGGACTTTTACATAAAATAATATTTCGTTTTCACAACTAATTTTAAATATAGAAATATTACTGCCACTGAATCCTATTAATTACTTTTTTAAATTTACGTTTCTTTGGTTAAAATATATTATTGATCAAACAAGTATTACAAAACTAGCTCCTTCGTCGCTCGTTTTGTAAATTGTCCTCGTGCGAAAAAAATAACTCTTACAATATTTCTTTAATATACCTACTATTTTGGACCTAAGGTTTGTTTCTTTGGATCGCGTTACATATCATGTTCAAACGAATATTATTCTTCTATTTTTTTTTGAAAAAAAATATAGTTTTTATAATTATTTTAAAACCAATCGGTTCCTGTGCCTCACCCTGTATTAGCAGTAAATAATATTGACTTATTTAAATGCAACATGCAAATTAAAATCTGCATATATGCATGTTTTAGGAAAAACGTTCAGCGATATTGCAGTATCGCCGACGATATTCGATAAAAACTATAAAATATATTTTATTATGTTACAAAATAAAACAAAACTTAGCTTTAATCCAGTTGCATGCACATTAGCAGACAAGTAAATGGAAAATGTATTTTAGGTTCCAACTAGCCAGCCAACGCGTCTCTTCAGCTTTATGAATCCGCTGGCAGTGGAAATTTGGCTGTACGTTCTAGCCGCCTATATGCTGGTGTCGTTCACGTTATTCGTGATGGCACGTTTTTCTCCATACGAGTGGAACAACCCTCATCCCTGCCACCAAGAATCCGACATAGTCGAAAACCAATTTTCTGTATCAAATAGTTTCTGGTTTATTACAGGGACATTTTTACGACAAGGATCCGGCTTAAACCCAAAGGTTTGAATGTATATGCATGATATAATGTCTATGTTTGCATGTTTTTTATACTTGTACCCAAACTTTCTACTTATACACATCCAAATAAGTTTATAGCAATAATTCGTGCTCATTTGTGTTTATTCGATTTGTAGTTTTTTCATAATTTATGGTTATGTTAATTAGTTTTTCGAATATAGTAACCTGTTTAGCATTTTATTTAATTAGCATTGCCAGGCAATAAATCCCAATTACAAATATAAAATTAATTATTTATTATGACTATGTTTGCTTTTAAACCTATTTTAAATTAATTAATGAATAAATGAATGATAAATATACTATATCATATTTCAAATATGATCCCATTAAAGTCTGGATAAATATATATAATATCCTGTAAATTGGTATAAATGTACACATAAAAAACAATATATTTACGAGGTGTGTTCAGAAAATAACGGGAATTGTTAAATTTCGCGGGTTCGGAGGGTCCGGTTGTCATAAAAAATTCTTTATTATGTTGGTTTACATGCCCCCGAAGTATGATAAAAACTTTAGCTGTTTTCATTGTTTACTTTGTCTGTGGCAGCCGCTAAGGTTAGACGTGTTTATGACCTCGGCAATTTTCGTTCGTTCGAAAGAAAGGGATCAAAGGATTTGTATCCAAGTTTGCTTAAAAAATGAAATAAATTCTGTGACATGTTAACAAAGACCTATAGTGAGTCTGCTATAAGTAAAACAAGAGTTTACAAGTGGTATAAGAGTTTCCAAGATGGCCGTGAAGACGTTGAAGATGACGAACGCCCCGAACGCATAAGCACATTAACAACCGATAAAAACATGGAAAAAGTCAAAGAAATGGTTATAATCCATCAGAGAAGTCGCTGATGATGTTGGTATATCGATTGGCTCATCCCATGAAATTTTTTCGAATGTTTTGGGTATGATACGCGTGGCAGCAAAATTTGTTCCAAAATTGTTAAATTTTGAACAAAATTTTTGGCCAAAAACAATACTGTCATGATGCCCCAGCCTCCATGTTCGCCAGACATGCCTCTGTCTGACTTTTTCCTATTCCCAAAAATAAAGAGAACCTTAAAGAGCCTTCGTTTTGCAAGCATAGATGACATTAAAAGCGCATCGCTGAAAGAACTAAAGGCTATCCCAAAGATCGAAGTTTCGAGTATTGGAAGAAGAGTTGGCACATGTGCATAATATCCAATATTACTACTTTGAATGCGACAACATTAATGTAGACGAATAAATAAATATTTGTGTCAAAAAAACAAAATTCCAGATATTTTCTGCACAACACAACTCGTATATATTTATACATTTATAATTTTATTCAATACATTTTTAGTCAAATATTAAATTGATTTTGTATTTTTAATTAATTAATTTACACCTTTAAAGTAGCTCAAAACAGATTTACTTTTCGATTAATATTCAATTAATTTGTAGGCAATGCTTAAGCGGTTTTATTGTTCTATCCCTTTTGTTAATTTATTCAACAGGTTTAATCTATTGTACATTAAGCTGTTTATCTTCAGTTAATGAAATATTTAAAATAAAATCCTTTTTTTACATTACATTTTAATGGTTAAATTAAAGGTCTGCATGTTTTGAAAAAAGTTTTCAGGGGATGCAATGCATTTTTAAAGTTTTACTTCGTTGTAAATAAATTTGGCAAATGGTTTATTTTATTAAAATTCCGAATAAAAAAATAAATAAAGTTACTAACTAACTAAATAACATATCGTGAATATTATAGTTTAGTAAAGTTATTGGTGTATTCCTATTAGTTATATGTTTAATGTTTATTCCAAAAATATTATAATATTAAAAAACCCTACACCCTAAACAAAACAATATGTTTAAAAGCCTATTTTTTATAACTGTTATGTTTTTTGGAAAATTATCCGGTAATAAAGTGGCAATTAACTCTAAAGTTTATTTTGATTTGAGTTATACATAATTACATTAGTTACTCTCACGCTTCGCGCAATAACCCTTTACGACCCCAGGCGGTTGACGGAAGTGAGTGAGGAGTCGTTTTAGGTAAAAGGACCCCGTTTGTAGATCTACATAAAACCTTTAAGATGTTTAGATTTTGTTAAATTTTCATTCTTTTTATATTTGAAACTTTTTCAAAATTTTTAAATTTAAAAAAAAAATTCAGAATTTTCAAATCCTCCCAAATATTTGTGAAAAATATCAACTAGCGCCGCAAACGCTCTACCGAATCTTAGTTTGGTTGGAACGGTTTCGACGCAATAACCTCCACACTAGCTAACTAGTTTATTAGCCAATTGGTTTTTAAATGTACAAATTACTTTTTTTGAGTTCTGACATTGCATGTGTAATTAGGTAGGTACTTCAATTAAAAAATTTGAGATTCAGCTAATCAGGAAGTAAAATTATTAAAATCATATTTAAAAAAAATAATAAATTATATTTTATCTTATCTTTTATACACAAAAGTTGATCCTGTCTGTATTTCAAGTTAACCCTTATTTATTAATATAATAAACATCAAAAATGTTTAAAATTGTGAAAACCGATAATAAAGTAATAAAATTGTTTTTTAACGCGTTATTTCCAAAGTACCCGCATGACATACCCGCATAATATTAAGTTACATTTCTTTAAAATAAATTAGAAATAAAATTAGTTATATTGCAATGATATCGACAACGTCAAGAGATTACACTAAATGAATAATATACCTACATATATGTATATAAAGGGTGGGCCAATAATTGGTTTGTTTTTAAAACATTACTCATGGCAACACTCGATGCACTGATTTGTTTTAAATTTTGGCACAAAACAATCATGTTTTCGCTTGAGGAGTGTTTCGAAATATTGAAAATTTATTTTCAAAGTCAATGTTGTGAGGCCGAAACCGTGCGAATTTTGAAAAGAATTATGGGTCGTAAAAGAGCGCCAAGCGGAACTGCTGTAGTGAAATTGGTGAAGAAAGTTTGTGAGACAGGCTTGCTATTGGATAACAGAAAAGGTCCCTAAGCTCGGACAGTGCGTACGCCTGAGAATATTGAGGCTGTGTCCCGTAGGGTGGTACAAACTCCATCTTTCTCAACTCGACGCCGATCGCAGCAACTGGCCATTAGTCGCACCAGCCTGAGGAGAATACTGCACAAAGACCTAGGATTATTCGCCTACAAGGTCCAGATGACTCAGGAGTTGAAAGCAAATGACCATCTGATTCGATATCAGTTCGCTGTGTGGGCCACAGACCAGTTCAACAATGACGTCAATTATGATCGAAAAATCATTTTTTCAGACGAAGCTCATTTCCTTCTCGGGGGCTATGTAAACAAGCAGAACTGCCGGATTTGGGGTACGAAATAGCCACACGTAATCGAAGAGAGGCCAATGCATCCACCAAGAGTGACAGTTTGGTGTGGATTTTAGAGTGGTGGCATAATTGGCCCATTTTTCTTCGAAAATACTGCTGGAAAAGCCGCTACCGTCAATAACGACTGTTACAGAGCCATGTTGACTTTTATGGCTTCAAATCGACGCCATGAATGTAGACGATCTTTGGTTTCAACAAGATGCGGCACATGCCATACAAGCCGACTGACAATCGATCTTTTGCGCACCAAATTTAACAATCGAATAATCAGCCGTTTTGGAGATGTCAATTGGCATGCACGGAGTTGTAATTTGATGCCGTTAGATTTTTTTCTGTGGGGTTTCGTTAAGGACCGATGTTATGCGGACAATCCAGACACAATTCCAGCTTTAAAACATAACATTGAAACTGTTATTGGCGATATACATAGGCGCGAAGTCCTGAAAAAAGTGCTTCAAAATTGGACACGCAGGATGGCTTACTGTGGGGCCAGCAGAGGAAGTCACATGAACGAAATTATTTTTCATTCTTAAATCTTTCTTTCTTCAACGTTCACAATAAAAAAATGTTCTTAAAATATTGATTTAGACTCATTTTATAGAGTTTTTAAAAACAAACCAATAAATGGCCCACCCTTTATATATAAAATATATATTATATATTTATATATAATATATATATATATATATATATACATCCCGCTATACTTATGGCGTCCATACATTGACGTATTACATTGGATATGGCGTCCGACTTACATACGGCTTCCGTATATGGACGCCATATCGACTACCCACACAATTCAGTTTATTTTTTAGTAAAAACATTTCTGGTAAAATTTCATCGGGACGCCACATGATCGGTGTTATGTACGTTTTTGTATATTTTAGTTCGGCATTATTACGCTTGGCTTAGTTGCGCTCTAGTCGACCGTATGTATATTCATTATTATTCCGTTTTCATGATTTCGCATATTTGGCGTCCGTAAAATTGGCAACCATGGATCATTTCATTTAATTTTATTATTTTAAATGCGTTCGATGTTTTGAAGCGTTTTTATGAGATTTTAAGGGCGCAATATCACCATGTACAATGTACGAGTACGTTTTAATAATTATAATTTTATAAGTACTATTAATATATATTATATTATTTAAATAGATGGTTTTACGAAAAAAATTTGAAAGATCTTTTTTGTAGAGCATACAATTTTCTTCAAAAATATCTACTGTGTATTGCTTCATGTATATTTTATTAAAAATTATAATAATTGTTTTTAGACTGTAAACAAATAATTTAGATTACTTATACCAAAGTGAAAAAAAACAACTTGGGAAACAACGGACACCCTAATATTCACATTCATATCTACTTCTCATATTAATCAGGGGTCTAATATCAAAAACGGCAAATTCACATATTTTGTACTGTCAATTTCCACCACATTTTTCAAAATTTTCAACAGTAATATTACTAGTGAGAATAAATTGAAAATAATTTGACAGGTATCTATTTCGAAAACTTGTTGTCCATAGGGCTTGCGGGGTTATTGCCTTATGACAACAAGTTTGAGAAATATCTGAAAAAATATTTTCTAATTTATTGAACTCTCAACTGGTATTCTGATAGATGATTTTTTGAC